GAACCATATATGACAAACTCACAGCTAATATCACATTGAGAGGAAAGAAACAAAGCCTTTTCTCAAAGATCTGACATAAGACAAGGATATTCACTTTCATCATTTTTATGTAATGTAATATTGGAATTCCTAGCCAGAGCAATTCGACAGGAGAAAGAAATAAAGGGCATTCACTTTCTCATCACTCCTATTCAACATAGTAGTGGAAATTCTTGCAATTGAAATCAGGCAATGGAAAAAATAAAGGATATTCAAATAGAAAAAGAGGAAATCAAACTATCTTTGTTTGAAGATGACATAATCCTATATCTAGAAAACACCATCATTTCAGCCCAAAAGCTTCTTAAGCTGATATGCAATTTTAGCAAAGTCTCTGGTTACAAAATCAATGGCAGAAATAGCTAGCATTCCTATACACCAACAACAGGCAAGCTGAGAGCCAAATTATGAACAAATTCCCATTCACAATTGCCACAAAAAGAATAAAATACCCAGGAATATAGATAACAAGGGAAGTAAAGAACTTCTTCAAGGCAACCTACCAAAAAAAAAAAAAATTACATGCTCATTGATAGAAATAATGTATTGTGAAATCTATTTTGAAAGTGACCATATTGCCCAACATAACATATAGATTCAATGCTATTCCCATTCAACTGCCTTTGACATTTTTCACAGAATTAGAAAACTATTTTAAAATTCATATGGTACCAAAAAAGAGACCCAAATCACTACTTAACTTTATACTATACTACAAGGCTACAGTAACCAAAACAGCGTGGTACTGGTACAAGAAGAGACACTTAGACCAATGAAACAGAGTATAGAACCCAGAAATAAGACTGCACACCTACAACTATCTGATCTTTGAAAAACCTGAAAAAAAGAAGCAATAAATAACGTGTTCCCTATTTAATTAATGTTGCTGAGATAATTGGCTAGCCTTAGGCAGAAAATTGAAACTGAACCCTTTTATTACATCTTATACAAAAATCAACTCATGATGGCTTAAATAAATAAATGTAAAATCCAAAACTATAAAAACCCTAGAAAAAAACCTAGACAATACCACTCAGGACATAGGCATGGGCAAATATTTTATGATGTCAATTCCAAAAGCAATTGCAACCAAATAAAAAATTAATAAATGGGATCTAATTAAACTAAATAGCTTGTGAACAAAAACAGAAACTATCATCAGAGTAAACAGACCACCTACAGATTGGCAGAAAGTTTTCACAATCTATTCATCTGCCAAAGGTCTAAAATCCAGGATCTACAAGGAACTTAAACAAATTTACAAGAAAAATCAAACAACCCCTGTAACAAGTGGGCAAAACACATAAACAGATACTTAGCAAAAGAAGACGTACATGTGGCCAACAAACATGTAAAAGATAAAAGGCTCTATATTGCTTATTATTAGAGAAATGCAAATCAAAACCACAATGAGATAACATCTCACACTAGTTAGAATGGCTATTATTAAACAATCAAAAAATAACAGATACTGGTGAGATTGTAAAGAAAATGAAACACTTATTCACTTTTAATGAGAGTGTAATTCGTTTAGCCATTGTGAAAGACAGTGTAGAAATTCATCATAGGCCTAGAGGCAGAAATAGTATTTGACCCAGCAATTCCATAACTGGGTATTTACCCAAAGGAATATAAATTATTCTGTTACAAAGATACATACACACATATATTCACTGAATCACTATTCACAGGAGTAATGACATGGAATCAACCTAAATGTCCATTAATGATAGACTGGAGAAAAAAAAATTTACTTAAAGAATTTTATAATACAGTAAGAAGTACTAACCATGGGATAGACAAAGCAGAGTATCAAATCTCGGAGCTCAAACAACAAATCTTTGAATCAACTCAGACAAAAATAAAAAAGAATTTTGAAAAATGAACAAAACCTGAGAAATGTGGGATGCTATAAAAAGACTAAATCTATAACTCATTGACATTCCTGATAGAGAAAAGAGAGTAAGCAATGTGGAAAACATATTTGAGAATGTAGTCCCTGAAAATTTTCTCAATCTCACTAGAGAGATTGACATAACAATTCAAGAAATGTATAGAACCCCTGTGAGATACTATAAAAGATGACCTTCCTCAATGAGTAGAATCATCAGATTCATGAATGTCAATATGAAAATTAAAATTTCAAAGGCCACTAAAGAGAAGAGTGAGGTCATGTACAGAGGGAACATCATTAGGCAAGCAGGTCATCTCTTGCAGATACCTTACAAGCCAGAAGAAGTTGGTGTCTGCGTTTCAGCACCCTTAAAGAAAAGAAATTCAAAGAACTTTATATGCCACCCTATTAAGCTTCATAAGTTAAGGCAAAATCAAAACCTTTTCAGACAAACAAGTGCTGAGGGAATTCATTTCAACTACACAAGCAAAAATTAGACCACTGTATTTGCCTTTTGAGATTTTTCTCCTTTTCTTAGCATATTCTCAGTGTCCACCCTTACTTCCAGGCCTACCACGCTGGTCTAAACATACTTAGCTTTCCATATACTGATATCAATTGCTGGCCTTGGCTTTCAATGCTGAAACAGGCACTAAATCTCAGTGTTTCCAGTTAAATGTATCTGATTATATATTTGGAGAACAAAAAAGAATGTCCCCACCACCGAGGGAAAATGTCATCAAACTCATAGGACACAAAGAGACTGAAATTATCTGAGAGCATTCTTTCTGCCCACTAAAGTTTTAAAGCAAGACAACTAACCATTACAGGGGCTACTCACTTTCATACAAAACATTTTCTAAGAAGAAGTAAGTACATTTCATTTCCCAAGAAAGTGTGTTGATTAATATAGCATCTTATAAATAGAATGTTTATTTTCAAGCTTATATTTCTTTATAATTTTACCATATTTATATTTAGTTGAAGTTCACTTAATAAACTTAATTTCAATAACTGTCAAAAATTAGTTGACTGTACATGTAGATTGAGTTATGGGCTCTCCTGTTTCATTGATCTATGTGTCAGCTTTTACGCTATTGCCACATTATTTTAATTACTATGGATTTGTAGCATAATTTGAAATAATGAACTGTTATGCCTCCACCTTTATTTTTATTGTTCATGATTAAGTGGCTATTCAAAGTCTTTGGTGGTTTTATCCTAATTTTAAAAGAATTTATTATTCCTTTGGAAAAATAACTATAGAAATTTTGATAAGGAGAGTGTTGTATTTGCATGTTGCATTAGGTAGTGTAGACATTTTCACAATATTGTCTATTATTTCACATTCTATGTCCATGTATCCACATTACTTAGGTCACACTTACAAGTAAAACATTAGATGGAATCATCTTTCTGTGCCCGCCTTGTTTCACATAAGATAATGGTAAGAAATTCTATCCATGTTGCTGCAAAACACATGATTTACTTACGTATAACAAAAATTGGTTCACATTGCTATGGAGACCAAGTAGAGACCTAAGGAGAGCTGATGATATAGTTCCAATCTGAGTCCAAAGGCCTGAGAAACAGGAGAAACAATGACACAATTTCCAGTGAGTCTAAGTCCAGAGGCAGCAGAAGACAGATGTCCCAGCTAAAAGACAATTAGGCAGAGAGAGAATTCCTTCTTTTATTTTTTGACTCTTATTTTAGGCTCAAGGGGTACATTAGTAGATTTGTTACATATGTAAACTGTATTGCTCAGACTTGGTTTACAAATGATTCCATTGCCCCGGCAGTGAGCATATTGTCTAACAGGCAGACAGATTTTCAATGCATACCTTTTCTAAACCTTCTTCCTCTAGTACTCCCCAGCGTCTGTTGTTTCCATCTTTACGTCCATGTTTATTCAATGTTCAGCACCCACTTATAAGAGAGAACATGTGGTATTTAATGTATTATTGTTGTTATTATTATTATTATTGGCTCCTGTGTTAATCTGCTTAGGATAATGGCCTCAAGCTGCAATCACATTGTTTCAAAGGACACAACTTTGTACAATTTTATGGATGCATAGTGTTTCATGGTGTGTATGTACCATATTTTCTCTATCTAATCCATGCTTGATGGGCACCTAGGTTGATTTCATGTCTTTGCTATTGTGACTAGTGCTGCAATAAACATACATATACATGTGTCTTTTCAGTAGAACAATTTGTTTTCTTTTGGGTTTATGTCCAGTAATGAAATTGCTGGATTGAGTGATTGTTCTGGGTTCTTTCAGAAATATCCAAACTGTTCTATACAGTGGTTGAACTGATTTGCATTTCCCCAAACAGTATATAACTTCCCTTTGCTCGGCAGTCTCTCCAACATCTGTTGGTTTTTGACTTTTTAAAAAATAAAAATAGTAGACATTCTGATTGGTATGAGATAGCATCTCATTGTGGTTTTGATTAGCATTTCTCTGATCATTAGTAATTTGAAGCTTTCTTGTTTTATTGTACTTTAGGTTCTGGGGTACTTGTGCAGATCATGCAGGATTGTTGCATAAGTATATACCTGGCAAGGTGTTTTGCTGCCTTCATCTCCCCGTACCCTATACCTGACATTTTTAAATGTCTGTTGGCTGCATGTATGTCTTCTTTTGAGAAGCGTCTGTTCATGTCTTTTGCCTGTTTTCTAATGTCATTATTTATTTGTTACGTTTTTTGCTTGTTCAGTTGTTTGAATCCTTACAGATTCTTGATATTAGACTTATGTTGGAAGCTTAGTTTGTAAATATTTTCTTCCATTTTGTAGGAGGTTTGTTTACTCTGTTGATAGTTTCTTTTGCTGCACAGAAGCTCCGTAGTTTAATTAGGTACCACTTGTGAAATAATGGGGTGTGGGTTGTAATTGCTTTAGAGAACTTAGTCATAAGTTCTTTGTCAAGGCCAATGTCTCAAAATCAAGTTTCCTAGGATTTACTACATGATTCTTATGGTTCAATTTGTTACATTTATTTCTGTTATTTATCTTGAGTTAATTTTCCTGCAGCATTAAAAAAAGAGGTCCAGTATTTTTCTTCTGCATATAACTAGTCAACTATCCCAGCATGATTTATTGAAATGGGAGTCCTCTCATTGCTAATTTCTGTCAACTTTTTGAAAGATCAGGTGGCTCTAGATGTATGGCTTTGTCTCCGATATCTTTATTCTGTCCCATTGGTCTATGTGTCTGTTTTTTAGGAGTACTATGCTCTTTTGGTTACCGTAGCTTTATAGTATAATTTGAAGTCCGATAATGTGATGCTTGCTGCTTTGGTCTTTTTGGTAAGGGTTACTTTGTTTATTCAAGTGATTTTTTTTTGTGTTTGTTTCAATGTTTATGTTAGAATAGGTTTTTTTTTGTTGTTTATCCAATTCTGTGAAAAAATGACATGAATAATTTGACAGGAAGAGTGTTGAATTTGTAGATAGCTTTGGGCAACATGGTCACTGTAATAATATTGATTCTCACAATTTATAAGCATAGAATATTACCTTTTTAAATTTATTTGTGGTATCCGTGATTGCTTTCAACAGTGTTTTACAATTCTCTTTGTAGAGATTATTTACCTCCTTAATGAGCTTTATTCATTAGTATTTTATTTTGTATGTGTCTATTGTAAATGTAATTACATTCTTGATTTGGATCTAAGTTTGAACATAATCAGTGTATAGCAATGCTACTAATTTTTGTACATTAACTTTGTATCCTGAAACTTTAGTGAGGCTTTTTTTTTTTTCCAGTTCCAGAAGTCTTTTGGCAGACTTTTTAGGATTTTCTAGGTTTAGCATATTGTCAGTGAAAACAGATAGCTTAATAATTTATTTCCAAATTGGGTGCACTTTATTAATTTCTCTTGCCTGATTGCTCTGGCTAGTACTTTCTATACTATCTAGAAAAGGAGGGCTGAGGGTCTGCATTCTTGTCTTATTCCAGTTTTCAAGGGGAATGCTTCCAGATTTTATCCATTTAGTATGATGTTGGCTGTCAATATTTTATAAATGGCTCTTCTTATTTTGAGGTACGTTCCTTCAAAGCCTAGTTCACTGAAGGTTTTCTTTTTTTTTTTTAAATCAAGAAGTATGTTGGATATTATCAAAAGCTTTTTCTGTATCTACTAAAATGATTATGCATTTCATTTTTGTTTTTAGTGCTATTTATTGGGTAAAACATTATATTTATTTGCATAATTTGAATGAATATTACTTCCTAGAAGTGAAGCCTAGTTGATCATTGTAAATTACCTTTTTCACGTGGTGTTAAATTTGGCTTGAGAGTATTTTGTTGAGGATTTTTGCATCTATGTTTATGAAGCGTATTCACCTGAAGTTTTCCATTTCATTATATCTTTGACCATTTTCGGTATTGTAGAATGAGTTAGTGAGGAGTTCCTTCTCGATTTTTAGAACAGTTTCAGTGGAATTGATATCAGTCTTTTGTACATCTGGTAGATCTTGGCTGTGAATCCGTATGTTCTGGGGCTCTTTTTGGTAGATTTATTATTACCGATTCAATTTTAGAACTTGATATTGATCTGTTCACTGTTTCAATTTTTTTCTGATTCAATCTTGGGAGATATTGTTTTTCCAAGAATTTATTCATCTTTCTGGTTTGTGTGCTTAGAGGTGTTCATAGTTTTCCCTGAAAATCTCTTGTATTTCCATGAGATTGGTTGAAATGTCACTTTTGTCATTTCTGATCACACTTATTTGGGTATTTCCATCTTTGTTGTTGTTGTTGTTGTTGTTTTTGCTGTTGTTAATGTATCTAGTGGTCTATAAATCTTGTTTATCCTTTAAAAAAAAACTTTTGGTTTCATCGATTATTTTTGTAAGTTTTTTATATTTCAAATTTATTTAATTTCGTTAAGAAATTTGTTATTTCTTTCTTTCTGCTAGCTTTGGTGTTAGTTTTCTTTTTTTCTAGATTCCCTAGGTGTAATGTTAGATTTATTATTATTATTATATTGTTGTTATTATTTAAGTTCTGAAATACATGTGCAGAATGTGCAGGTTTGTTACATAGGTATACATGTGACATGGTGACTTGCTGCACCCATCATCTACATTAGATACTTCTCCAAATGCTATCCCTCCCATTGCACCCTTTCCCCCTGACAAGCCCCGGTATGTGATGAGTGTTCCTTGTGTTCTCACTGTTCAACTGCCTGTGTCCTCCCTGACTGTGTTCTCACTCAATGTGTCCTTGTGTTCTCACTGTTCGACTGCCACTTATGAGTGAGGACGTGCGGTGTTTGGTTTTCTGTTCCTGTGTTAGTTTGCTGAGAATGATACTTTCCAGCTTTATCTGTGTCCTGCAAAAGACATGAACTCTTTTTTTTTTTTTTTATAACTGCATATTATTCCATGGTGTGTATGCGCCACATTTTCTTTACCCAGTCTAACATTGATGGACATTTGGGTTGGCTCCAAGTCTTTTCAATTGTGAATAGTGCTGCAATAAACGTACGTGTGCATTGCTAGGTCAAATGGTATTTCTAGTTCTAGATTCTTAAGGAATCATCACACTGTTTTCCACAATGATTGAATTAATTTACACACCTACAAACAGTGTAAAAGTATTTCTATTTCTCCACATTCTGTCCAGCATCTGTTGTTTTCTGACTTTTTATTGATTGCCATTCTAACTGGCATGAGATGGTATCACATTGTGGTTTTAATTTGGAGTTGTTGGGTTTTTTTTTCTTGTAAATTTTTTTAAGTTTATTGTAGATTCTAGATATTAGTCCTTTGTCAGGTGGATAGAATTGTCTCTCATTTTGTAGATTTGCCTGTTTTCTGATGATAGTTTCTTTTGCTATGCAGAAGCTCTTTAGTTTGATTAAACCCATTTATCAATTTTGGCTTTGGTTTCCATTGCTTCAGGCGTTTTAGTCATGAAGTCTCTTCCCATGCCTATGTCCTGAATGGTACTGCCTGGGTTTTCTTCTAGGGTTTTTATGGTTTTAGGTCTTACTTTTAAATCATTAATTAATCTTGAGTTAGTTTTTGTATAAGGTGTAAGGTTTCAGTTTCAGTTTTCTGCATATGGCTAGCCAGTTTTTCCAACACTGTTTATTAAATAGGGAATCCTTTTCACGTTGCTTGTTTTTCAAGTTTGTCAAAGATCACATGGTTGTAGATGTGTGGTGTTGTTTCTGAAGCCTCTGTTGTGTTCCATTCATCTATATATTTGTTTTGGTACCAGTATCATGCTCTTTTGGTTACTGTAGCCTTGCAGTATAGTTAAAAGTCAGATAACGTGGTGCTTGCAGCTTCATTCTTTTTGCTTAGGATTGTCCTGGCTATGTGGGCTCTTTTTTGTTTCATATGAAATTTAAAGTAGTTGTTTCTAATTATGTGAAGAAAGTTAATGGTGGCTTGATGGGAATAGCTTTGAATCTATAAATTACTTTGGGAAGTACGGCCATTTTCACAATATTGATTATTGCTATCCATGAGCATGAAATGATTTTCCCATTGTTTTTGTTCTTTCTTATTTCCTTGAGCTGTGGTTTGTAGTCCTCCTTGAAGAGGTCCTTCACATCTCCTGTAAGTTTTCTTCATAGGTATTTTATTCCCTTTGTAGCAATTGTGAATGTGAGTTCACTCATGGTTTGGCTCTCTTTTTGTCTGTTATTGGTGTATAGAAATTCTTGTGATTTCTGCAGATTGATTTTGCATCATGAGACCTTGCTGAAGTTGCTTATCAGCTTAAGGAGATTTGGGGCTGAGACGGTAGGATTTTCTAAATATGCAATCATGTCATCACCAAACAGAGACAATTTGACTTCCTCTCTTCCTATTTGAAAACAGTTTTTTTTTTTTTTTCTTCTTTCTCTTGCCTGATTTCCCTGGCCAGAACTTCAAACACTACGTTGGTGAGAAAGGGTATCCTTGTCTTGTGCCGGTTTTCAAAAGGAATACTTCCAGCTTTTGACCATTCAGTGTGATATTGACTATGGGTTTGTCATAAATAGCTCTAATTATTTTGAGATATGTTCCATCAGTACCTTGATTATTGAGAGTTTTTAGCATGAAGAGGTGTTGAATTTTATCAAAGGCCTTTTCTGCATCTATTGAGATAATCATGTGGTTTTCATCTTTGGTTTTGTTTATGTGATTGATTACATTTATTGATTTGTGTATGTTGAACCAGCCTTTCATCCCAGGGATGAAGCTGATGTGATCGTAGCGGTTAAGCTTTTAGATGTGCTGCTGGGTTTGGTTTGCCAGTATTTTATTGTGGATTTCCACATCGATGTTCATCAGGGGTATTTGTCAGAAATTTTCATTTTTTGTTGTGTCTCTGTGAGGTTTTGGTATCAGGATGATGTTGGGCTCATAAAACTGATTTAGGGAGGAGTCTCTCTTTTTCTATTGTTAGGAATAATTTCAGAAAAAAAATGTTATCAGCTTCTTTTTGTACCTGTGGTGGAATTCGCCTGTGAATCCATCTGGTTGTGTATTTTTTGTTTGTTTGTTTGGTAGGCTATTAATTGCCTTTTCAGTTTCAGAATTTGTTATTGGTCTATTCAGGGATTCAACTTCTTCCTGGTTTGATCTTGGGAGGGTGTATATCTCCAGAAATTTATCAATTTATCATAAGTTTTCTAGTTCATTTCGCATTGAGATTTTTTTTTCCCATTTATTTTATTGCATTTTAGGTTTTGGGGTACATGTGAAGAACATGCAAAATTGTTGCATAGGAACACACGTGGCAGTGTGATTTGCTGCCTTCCTCCCCATCACCTACATCTGGCATTTCTCCCCTTGCTATCTCTCCCCAGCTTCCCACCCCCCACCGTCCCTCCCCTATTTCCCCCCAACTGACCCCAGTGTGTAGTGCTCCCCTCCCTGTGTCCATGTGTTCTCCTTGTTTTTTTTTTTTTTTTTTTTTTTTTTTTTTTTTTTAGTATTCTCTGAGGGTAGTTTGTATTTCTGTGGGTTCAGTGGTGATATGCCTTTATAATAATTTATTGTTTCTATTTGATTCTTCTCTCTTTTCCTCTATATTTGTCTGGCCAGTGGTCTATATGTTTTTTATTTAATCCTTTCAATAAACCAGCTCCTGGGTTTACTAATTTTTTAAAGAATGTTTTGTGTCTCTCCTTCAGTACTGATCCAACCTTAGTTATTTTTTGTCTTCTGCTAGCTTTTGAACTTGTTTGCTCTTGCTTCTCTAGTTCCTTTAATTGTGATAATAGGATGTTGATTTTAGATCTTTCTAGCTTTCTGATGTGGGCTG